GTATTACTGTCCTGTAAACGTTATCAAAAAATTATAATTAACTGCTTAAAATTCAATTTTTGATAAGAGTTGAAGCTGGTTTTAATAAGCATTAAATATCGTTTACAATATTATTTACTATATATCAGTGATTGTTTTTGAGTATTCTCTTTATTCAAAATACTAATACTTTCGTACTTTCGAAGAATGACACAGCATGCATTTAAAATATTAATAGCAACTTATATTCTTTTAAAAGAAAATGTTTAGATCTTGGTTTCTAAACGTTTTAAATTAGATAATTAACTGTTTAATAAACATTATTATTAGAGGAATAGTTGCTATAAGGGAAGTGTACTTTAATAAAAGTACTTTAAATAATATTAATTCTACGCCTTACATTAAGAAAGGCACCAATTCGAATTCTTTTTATAGTAATGTCTTAGTGAATGGTAAATGTTTGCAATTTATTCTGGATGTATGGAACACTTTGTGATTTCCATGTGACCCATTCCCGCTGCCCCCTCCCGCCACCCCCTTCGACGCAATCAATTAAAACACAAACAAAAACCGATCGTCGCTCCGCCGGCAGAGGTACAGTGGGCTCGATAGACCAAAAAAGAACCGGTGTCTGTGCAGCAGCAACGCAACTGCGACGCCACCGAGCGACCTGCGATCGGTTTGTTTTGTATTTTGTATTTTCGTATATTTTGTGGGCCAGACAGACGTGAATTGTATCTGAGGATACGGTACGACGAGTATGAGTACGAGTACGAGTACGTAGGCAGTCCGAAAAAAAACTTTGACTGAAAGGTTCGCCGGGAGCGTTTTTGTTTTTCTCCAAGTGGCAAATGGCAAGAGGCCATCGGTTTTTCGGCTTCCGATTGAAATATGCCGAACAACTAAAATAAAATAAAACAAAATACCGGGAAGCCAGAAAAAAAATAAAAACGAATGTAAACTCTCACTGGCAAATTAATTGTTTGGAACAGCTGGAACATTTAAATAAAATTCGCGCATCTCAAAGTAACATTGTGTGTTTCTGGCTATCTCGCATTTCTTCCGCATTTTCCCAAAAAATAAATAAATACTTAAAGAGGGATTTGCCTATGCCTTATTTAATTATTAAAATATTTTAAAATTAATGCTTCAAACAGCAAAATTCAACAGAAATTGTAATGCATTTTAATTATTGATTCCAGTAATTTGAAAAACTTTAATTTCACCAATGATTAAAATGCTTTACAATTTCCCTTGAATCTTTATCTTTGAAGCATTAATTTTTAAACAGTTTATGCATTAATAAAAATGGTCAAGAATTTTAACAAATGCCTATTTCTAGATGAAAAGCATTAAAAATAGGCATATAATTAACTTAAATGCTAACTGAGAGACTTTGCAATAAATGTGTAATAAACGCTATGTGAAATGCCACAAAAAATAAAATATTTAAGCCTGCCAAATTGGCTAAACCATTTTTATTACACCGAAATGGAATTTTGAAATGAAAACATATATTAATAAATGAAATTTAATTAAAAACTTAAAATGTAAATGGCCATTAAACGAATCGTTAATAAACATCAATGGTGGAAATGTGAAAAGTGCCAAATTAGAGATGGCGCTGAGATTGGCATTGTTATTTTTTTGATTGCTTGATTGCCACAATTTGCGTCAATTATGCGTGAGTGACACGCCCTTTGTGCCACCGCCCACGCTTTTAATTGAAATTTGTCTGTGTATTTATATTTTTTTCTGTTTGCCGTGTTTTCTGCCGTAAATGCTGTTTTTCCTGTGTCTTGTGTGCGTGCGAAAAATGCTCAGTTTGCGCTGATAAAGAAAATTAAAGCTGTACAAAGCCCTCAAGAGCGGTATGGGGGCGTGCCAAGGGGTCGGCCAGGCAAAAGCAATAATAAAAAAACGCCGACAGAGAAACCAGGAAAAAAATAAGAGAAACGCCTTAGGGAAAAAGAAACGGTGGAAAAAATACGCTTAAAAGCAGAGCAGCCAAGTGAAAGTATGGGATTCTGATTGGAAATTACCATTCGAAGCTGCGAATCGATTTAATGATGATTTAGCTGGTTTGAGTTTAGGTTCCCTGGAGCAGCAGCCACCGCACATGAGACTCTTACAAAGTGTTCAGATGTGGGCTAAGTGCCTGGAAAACCTCTCAGAAATTAGCCAAGTGTCGAGATAATTTATTGCAGCTAAGATATGGTATCTATAGATCTTGAGTAGCCCTTTATTAGAATATATAATTTAAAGTATTGTGGATAATAATTTAACCAATTTATCTAATGGTTTCTGTGGCTCAAAGATGTATGATATCTACAAATATTTACCCCTTCTTTATATACCAAAAATATGCATAAATCCATCAAATGGAAACTTAGTGTTTCGGAATGCAGAGCATACAAATTATAAGCTGCATCTCTGCATTCCAGGAAAGTAATGTAATGTTTAATGGAAATTTATGGACTAAAAACTAGAGATAATGCCATAAAAGCATACCCTGCAATTTCTTCTAGTTCTATAACCCCTTCTATAATATAGAAACAACATACCCTCAGAGATATAGGATATAGAAAATGATTTGCCTCCGAGAATACATTTCAATGGGCTTTAATTGCCTCGCCTGCCTGGTCAATTGATATTTATTGCCTAGTGTTTGTGCGATATCTAAAGCAAATTATTCATAAATTATTATCTACTTTTGGTACCGATTCCCGCCAGCGTTATTGTCAGCTAGTATCTACTTGTCCATGCAACCTTCTATCTATCTATGTAAGTATCTATCTATCTATCTATCGGCAAGTATGCAACCGAAATTCCATTGGCTTTCAACATGCCCATTTACATGTCGACCGGCAAATGGCTTTTTGAGCAATTGGCAATGGGAATTTACCACAATATTTTATCTCCAATTTGGGCGAGCGTGCAAATGCAGAGCTTATTTATTTGCCTGCCCAAATATTTGGTATTTCTATTAGAGCCAACCCGAGCGACTAACCGACAAGCCATCGCATGGCATCGCCACCGAAAATGTTGTGATACTTTATGGTCTGTCCGTGTCCGTGTCTCTAACAGATAAATAATTATTGCATTAGCCGCGCAAAAGTCGAAGCGCTCTCGATTCGCCAGCTACGCCCCAGCTCTTTAGATTTTGTATTTTCTTATTTTTTTCACCTACCGGGGCCGCGAAACGTGACACTTGGCTATCAGATGTGGCACTGTGGCCAATAAGCGGGGGCATGTGGCACGTAACAGGTAACAGGTAACCCAAGGTAGGCGAAGGTTGCGGTTAGGGAGCTGTAAGCGGAGATCTGCCCACAGGTTCTGTATTGCAAAAATGTATCTCTCAGATAAACATGCCTTAATTTATGAGCCATTCGGAATTAGCCTGAATTAGCTTGTAAATTAGGAAACATCTAGGTGATAAATAACACAAAATAACCCTAAAAAGTATCAGTTTATGGGCTAGACATTTCAATTGAAATGATAAAAATTCATATTCAATGCCTAGGAAAATTTTCTGTTATGTATTAGATATTGAATTGTTTGTTTTTAGATACTTTGTCATATCTTTTATATATGACATTAACATTGAATAGGCGCGTCAATCAATGTTTGTTTCACAACTTAATGAATCATGAAGCCAATTAAAGCTGGGTGATAACAAACGATTGTTTCTTTATCTTATCTTTACGAATCCAAAACAATTGTAAGGGTAAAGTTTTACATATGTACAAAACATAATTATTTGGAGAATTGTAGAAATAAAAGTTGTTTTATAATTCAGTTCAAATTTAAAAAAAAACTTCATCGTTAAAATTTGCAAAAATTGGCAAAATATTTAATTTTTTAAATAAGTATGAATATTAATTAAGCTGATGAAAACTAACACAGAAATGCTTTCCGAATTGAATTTAAGGCATTTTTGGCTTAGTTATGAAAGATTTTCTATTCGATCTAACGACCCAATGGCAACCTATAAGGGTATCCCTTATCTACTTCCCGAAGTTAATTTCTGTACTTGTATACATTATTTTAATTTTCATAAATACTAATTAAACTAAAAGTTTTTGTAATTAATAGATGAGGAAATGTATCGTATTTTTAAAGCTTTTAAAATATTTTTAACACCATTTATAAGAATATAATTAAAATCGAATTTTCCCTAAATTTGCTTAAGATTATAATTATTTCCAAATCAAAATTTACACAATTTAAATCTTGTTTAAACCTTTTAAATTAATTATTCATAAATACAAACATGTTTGTGAATACATCTCGACCATGCTAAAAAGCAACAATGAAAAAAAGGGTCCGCTAATAAGATAAATTGGATCTGAGAGGGAGATTAAATTGATTGAGATTGCGATCATTCTTTGCGGTGCTGGGTATTCCATTTCCAAATCAATTCACTTCTTGTTTGACTTTGGTGTCTGCGAACGAGGCCCAACAAAACCGGCTATGTGTCTGGCTGGTTGGCAGTCTCAATCGCAATCACAGCCATTTAACAAGTTTCGTTCAGTCGAATCAATTAGCGGCCAAAAGCGCTGACGATCGGATCGATCGATCGATTGAGCGATTGAGCGTCATCAGAGCTCGAGGCTCTGACGTTCCGTTGGGACTATATAGTCGTAGATATATGGCCTGCCTGTTTATGTTAATCAGCTGAAGCTGACGTTAACAGGGCTGTTAGCTAACAGGCGCCCGAAAGCTCGCTATGGACTCTTGGCGCTCCGGAAAAAGGCGGTCGCCGGTCAGAACGCGTTTGTGACTCGAGCGAAGCGCACGTGGCCGGGAAATCGAAACACATTGAGCCATCGAAGGATAGGCGGAAAGCTGGGGAAAAATGCCCCTACCAACAAGAAAAAAAAAACGAGTGTGTGAGTGCGTGAAAATCTTGTGTAACCTGGAGAAAAACCATCGAACGAGAGCGAGAGAAATAAAAGAGAGTACTGGGAAATTCACCACGACCCTTGGACTTGGTTTTTCCGCTCGTGTGAAAATATTCGCACGCTCACTACGTTTCGGTTCGCCCGCCAAGGCAGTTGCTCTCCTTTGAAAATTGTATTCAGTGCGTTTTTCCGTGCAGTGTACTCCAATCAGAATCAGACCCACCAAAGCACAAGTCATCGGTCAAAAAGTAAACAAAATGAGTGTCACATGCGGTGGAGCACAAGTGCTTGAAACTAGAAAGTTTATGGTCCTAATACTAATGGCAGTTAACCTGAAGGAATTCTAATAATAATAACAACAAAAAAGCGGTCATAACTATACAAGCCATTAAGCATAAAAAACGGGCATAAAAACGTGAGGGGTTGCGTTCTACGTGGTGGCAAAACGAACAAAAAAAAAATGGCATAGAAAATAAAAAGCGAACACAAGTGGTTCGGAAATGATAGTAACTGTTGCTTGTCGCACACGAACACACTCACAAATCGCAATCACAATCACATTCGCAGTCGCCGTTGAACAGAGTTACACACATGTCCTTTGTGGGTTTGTTGTGTACGCAACACTGTCCTCGGATTGTGGCTTCAATCAATGCGAATGTTGTAGATTTTGCATGCCTATACAGGGTAGCAAACGAGTGGCAATTACTTTGTTATAACTGAAATTCAACATTTGTTTAACATAATGTAATAAGGTTTAATTGAATAAGATAGATAGATAGTAGGAATTGGACATTGCACTACTGATAGTATTTTTTAAATGATTTCAAAGAGTTTCAAAACATTTTCTTTGGTGTGAAATAAGTAAATCTTCTAATTTAAAAGTAATTTCGTTTTAAAATGATTAATTCGCTAACAAAATTAAGTGAAAAGCATAATTAAAACCGATTCAAAGTTCGTTCAAGCTACTAAAAATACTGAACCTGAGGGCAACAGTGCGTATGAGTAATATTGTTAAAATACGTTTAACCTTTTAATGCCTAAAAATAATAAATTAAATGTGGAGTTTCTATTCATTAACAAAATTAAGTTGAAAGGCCAATAAAGACCCATTTAAAGTTCTTAAAAGTTTCTCGAAATAATAAACCTACGGGCAACTGTGCGTATGAGTAATACTTCAAATACCTTTTAATTTTTAGTGCCTAAAACTAATTTATTAAATTCTGGATTCCTATTCATTAACAAAATTAAGCCAAAAGCACAATTAAAACCCATTCAAAGTTATTTTAAGCTTTTAAAAACAATGAACCATGGGTCAACAGTGCGTATGAGTAATATACATACCTCTTACCTTTTAGTGCTTTAAAATAATCAAATTTAATTTAAGGTTTCTGAAATAAAATTCACCCGTTAATTTGTTTATTTTATGAGGTACAAACAATTCGAGTTCGCATGGTTAGTCCACCTGCACAGGTGAGAGCAGTGGCCAGCAAGAACGTGTCTGTTCGCGAAGCACACAAAAATTGGCGTTGCAAAAATTTCAATAAACCAATAACAAAAACAAAGCAATGAAAACAAAAACAAAACAAGAAAAAACACCAAGTTCGAGTAGCCGAAGTGTACATACCCTTGCAGAAACTTAAAATATTCGCATTATTTATCTATGTTATATTTATATATGAAAATTTGACAAATCAAAGTTTAAAAATCTCATAACTAAGCCATAAACCATTAATTTTGATTCGGAAAGCGTTACTATGTTAGTTTTTGTTAGGTTAATAAATCTGCATACTCAAAAAAATTTTTTAATTGAAATTTTTGCCAATTATTGCCTTTTTTGAAAAAAATTGATAATTTTTGAAATTTACTTTTTTATTAGAGAGATGGCTGATCGATTTGGATGTTCATGCTGATCAAGAATATAATAATTTATAGGGTCGGAAATGACTCCTTCACTGTGTTTTAACCTTCTGAATAAATGTATATGACCCTGCAAGTGTATAAAAAGTTAAAATGATATAAAAATTATTTCGTTTGCACTTTGCGCACGAGTTCGTTGGGACAAGCTGGGAAAAAATGTAATTATTTGCAATTTATTATTAAGCTGTCATTCTGATGGTTGTCTGTTGCGATGTTAAACCCTTCGTGAAATTCTCTTTCTCTTGTATAATTAACTGTCGGCACATTAAAAATTAATGCTAATTATGAGCTTGTTTGTTCGTCGCCCAGTGACGTTTGTTTGATATTTTTTTGTTTGTTTAATTGCCGTGGTCGTTATAACGAAGATCCGAATCAAAATCGATGCGAAACGCAAGTGAAAATAACAATAATAATTAAATAAACGCATTGCGACGGCATGTGATTAATAAAATTATGCAAATCGTTTTGAGCAAATTAAAGCACAGCGGCCAGCGAGATGTTAAAAGTCCAGTTTCGTCATAATTTATTTCTCTTTTGTTTCGTTTCGTTTATTAACCATGTTAGATGGCATTTAAGGCCTAATAAAAACCAGGCCGAGAGCAAAAACTGAAAATCAATAAACACAAAGCCAGGCTGGGCGAGAGCACGTAACAAAGTCAAATGCGGCAACAACAAGTGAGCAAGTTAAAGAACCTTTGCGATTTGTGAACGCTGCAAAATACTCGACGCGAACAACAAAAAAGAACACTTATTTACACCCCGAGGAGGAGAAGACGCGGTGGAAGAGCCCAGAAACCCAAAACCCTAACCCAAAATAAGGAAAGCACAGAAATAATAATAATGTCGGAGAACAGCGACAACAACGGGGATCGGGATGCCCAGCAGCAGGCAGGTGGCGCCGAAGGTGAGGCCATGGGCGAGAACAAGATGAAGTCCCGCCTCCGCAAAGGAGCCCTCAAAAAGAAGAACGTCTTCAATGTCAAGGATCACTGCTTCATTGCCCGATTCTTCAAGCAGCCCACCTTTTGCTCCCACTGCAAGGACTTTATTTGGTGAGTATTCCCCCCCCCCCCCAAAGAACTTACCTGCCTGCCCACCTGCCACCTGAGCATAACATATGTATCTGGCCCAAGAGCCATGTCCCATGTCCCATGCCCATTCCCACCCCATCCATCCGGCGGCACTTGTGGGTCTACACAAGCATGGCCAGCAATGCGTTGGCCACATAACATCAGTGGCCAGAATCGATAAATGTATATATTGACAAGGCGAAACAACTGGGCAACAAAGGAAGAACACAACACAAATAAAAGAAGGGATAGTGAAAGAAAAATAAAGCCACGACTTGAACAGTGATCCGCCTTGAACCACAAATGCTTAGTAAATACTACCACGGAAAAGCGATTTTCTAAGGGAAAGTGTCTCTCTCTTTGGCTTAATTTAAATGAATATCTTGAAAAATATATTTTATGTTTGTAGTGGCATAAAGAAATTATGAGGAAAGGTTATTTATAGTCTCTTATCTAGGATTGTTTTCTGTGTATTAATAGTTATTTTCAAAGGTTTGAAGGAACATTTACTAAATAAATTATTTCTTATATCAATTGTAAACTAAAACTACAGTAAATAGAACACTCCAAATTGTAAAGAAATTTCAACAAATATATACTCTTCGCAATATCTACCTATTGAGACATCACTGTACCACAAAGTCTAGTATTTCCGGTGAACAACATTGTTGCTTCGGCTTGCCCATTCAGGTTCAACATAGGGTTACAACAAAAATTACAAAAATAACAGAAAGTTCTTAAAAAAACAAGCAGAAACAAAAGCTAACCTGTGTAATATTTAATTTAGGTAAGGCTGCCAAAATCTGTCTTAATCCATTGTTGCTCCCTAAGTAAAAACAAACAGAAAACCCTGGGAAAAAAAAATAAAATGAAAACAAAATCAAGAAAAGCGAAGCTGAAATTATGTCGACACAGGTTGGGTACCTGTTTACTTTTGGTAGTCCTGGCAGCCAGGGTCCCAGTAGTCACTTCCTGGCCTTGCAGCTTCCCTGCGGATTATAAATCAATTTCATGCGCATTAAATTCGCTAGTCTCCCAACCCAACCCTCCAAATGGTTTCTTCCTGCTTCAAAATCCATTTGAAAATACAATTTTTGAACAGAATTTCGATTTTTACAGCGGTTATCAGTCGGGATATGCATGGATGTAGGTATTTTGAAATATATATTTGTATTACTTTGCTCGGGGTAGTGCTTGAAATTCATGGTAATATAGAATCAGAGGTCATTTTTGTCATAAGATATGCACAGAGGAAAATTATGAATTTAAAATTGGAGAAGAAAGTGGTATTCTTTTTCTAAGTCTACAAATAACAGAAAATACTAAAAGATAAATAAGAGCTACGTAATGAAATTTCGTTTTCATTTAATATACTTTAACGAATCATATTTTTCCCAGTGCTTCTTAAGTAGCAGAAATTTCGCTCATTGAATTGCCATCAAAGAAAATTAGAGTGTGCCTCGTCGCCAACACAAATTAATTAATTCGCCACTTAATATTCATAGTCAGAGTCACCCCCTCTAAAACCCAACCACAGAGACATTTTGACGAGCAATTTCAGTGATATTAATTCATATTTAATAAACAAACACACTCCGTCGCTTCGCAAAAGTGTCATAATGCCAGGGCACAGCGTTGACAATTTAAAGCCAGCAACTAATGAATGATATGGAACTCCCTCTCTTGCGCGGAGCAAATCCAAGGCAATTTATTAAGCTTGTCTCTTCATGACTTTCGTCATCGTTCTCGCTGTTGCTGTTGCTGCTGCTGCTGTTGCTATTTAATCTCTTTAGCTAATTGTCGGCAAAAACATTTTGGCAATAATTAAATTAATTGCTGTTTAAAATGCGCCACCAGCCGCCAGCATCATCGATCTATGCCCATAGACGGCCGGAAGACAGAGCTCTAAAATCGACGACAAAATTTTGGTATCCACAGTCCCAAAAATGAAACACGTAAGAAAAATCGTTAGACTCGATGGCATCGACTATGGGATACTCTACTCTGTACAAAATATGTTGCTTACATAAAATGCAGCTTTTTGATTTGCATTAATAAATTTAAATTAAAATTCATAGATTTTATGGGAAGTTCTTGAGTTCAAATGAACTTTTCCTGGAACTCTAAGCAACAATTAGCTAATTATTCGACTTTTGATGGGAAGTAAACTTAATATTTAATGAAGAATACTTTATTTTAATGCATATTTTATGGCTTCCAATATACCCCCTCGAAGCTCACAAAGAGCCAAGTAGCTGGCACTGCATCATTATTACACGTAATTAACGCGCTTTGACAGCAATGCCACCAAACAGGCAACAGCAGCAGCAGTGGCGGCAACAGCAACATTAGCCGGCAAACAACCAACTCCAAACAACAGACACCCCACTTTCGGCCACGCCCATTTTTGGGGGGCTGCAGCTAATTAACAACTTCAGCCACAGTTACACTGTTACAGTATAACACCGGCTCGACTTCGACTTTTAATTAATAGTGCGGGGCCTTTGGGGGCACACGCACAAACAAACACACGGCAAACGCGTTGCAAAAAGGCGTTGCAGGCACGTATTTTAGCGAACTGAGGGTGCTAAGTGGGGTGTGGCTGGGGGGGGGAGAGTGGATAGTGGGTGGGGTCTTAAGGGAGGCGTCGATGCGGTGGCAAAGTGTCGCCCGTCGACTTCGTTTGCGGCAGGTGAACAGGTGAGCAGGTGAAACATTTGCCATGTTTACGGCACGTCATTTGCATAATAGCGCGGAAACCGAAAAGGTCACGATGGAAATTTCAGACAGAAATTCGTAATACCCTGGGATGAATGAATCAGACAACATTTTTGGGGAATAAATAAAAAGTTGGGCTTTAAGTACAATGTAAACTTTGAATAAAAGAAAATAACTTAAGATATTGTAGAGGATGCTAACTTAAAAGTAGAATAATGATTATCCATTAATTGAAAATTTTCAAATGATCAATAAACTTCTGCTGAAGTTTCTTAATTTCATTTTTTAAGAATTTTAATGACTGAATAAGATGTGATTTTGTTTTCAAAATCTATATGACAGTCCATTTAAAGTTATAGCTGTTTCATTTTAAATAAAAAAGATACAACACCTTCATAAAAATGATGTTTTCATTCTTTATTTAAAGAATAACCCTCGAACTTAACTCTATAATCCATGTACCCCAAAAACTACCCCTAACTTTCCGTAAAGTTCAAGTTTTCGATTAATAGGTACGAGGTAATTGGCTTGGGGCTTGGGAAATGAATATTTGGGTTGACTTGGTGAGCCCCAAACAAGAACAATTAATTTGCTCTAATTCAGCTTAATTAAAATACGACTTTGTAAATGAAATCTCCTAAATTAAAACTAGGAAATATGCGGGTCAAGCCAGGATTTTTTTACCCGTTCCCTTTCACTCTTGGCTTGTTTGATTAATTAGCTTAAATTGCAAACATTCTTAACCCCAACTCTCTTTGTCCTGCAATAGTTTTTTCGCAGACGTTTTTCGTACGCATTGAATTCCGTTGTTGATGCTGGAAAATATGCGCTTAATTAAAAATTGAAATGCATAAAAAAGATGCAGTGAATAAAAATTTTTTCGTGGGTGGATACAAAGGGGAGAAAATAAAATCATAGTATAACTGCAGGCGCGGGAAAATTGCTTTTTCACTTCATTTGATGGGCAAACAGAAAAGAGGCAAAAAAAAAGAAAATAGCTGGAAAAGCGCCGACAGAAAACAGACGGAAAAACAGCGAAAAGCCACGAAGAGACAACCTGGCCAAACAAAGGAATTAAATTTAAATGGGGAAAATGGCAAATACGGGCGTGTAGCATTATGAAACGACGCCGTTGCACTCGTTAGCAGCGATAACAAATCGCTCCGTTTGTGTGAATTGTTCGAACTGGTAAACTGGAGCTAATCATTTTAACTTTAGCTCTGGCCTAAAGGACTGCAACTTATTTTCAACTTAACTGGAAAACTTTTTAATCTATATATTATACAAGTATATATATATAGAGGCGCTGTGCATGTGAATAATTTGCCTTGTCCCAAATTGCAGCCAGGAGGGTTCTTGGGGGCCTGGGCAGGCCAAAGCGGTTTTGTGGTCAAGTCATTTACGGTCAAAAGGGGTGAGAAAAAGCCCAGAGAGAGAGATTGCGGGTCACGTAAACCCGGCATTTCAGCCCCACAACAGGTTCTGGCCATTAACCAGTGGCCCGGATGAGGCTCCGGCTCCGGAATTGCCTTTAAGTTTTCTAGTTTTTTAGTTTAAGTATGCATTCTCGGTGTGGTATTTAAGGCACAGCTTTACGCAGGCCGAGAAAGGTGTTTAAAATAAGTTTAAAAATTATGTACAGGTTATTAATGATGCTATACTATGGCATCATATTCTATTTAGGTTAATAATTACACTTATATTCCACACGTTTTAATGGTTGTTATAACACATTCATTTGGCATTACATTTAAGATTTGTATCGAGTTCAGGTTAAGGTATTCTCTTACCAGTTGTCAGTATAACAAAACGCATCATAGTTATTTAATTTGCTATTATATACAACATTTCCTTTAATGTATAATTAAAATTAAAGAAATTCCCGTACAATAGCAGATTACTGTGTCATTTATTTTCCCTGAACACCATTTTAATAAGTTGACATTTAAACGCGGCCTCCTGCTGTGTGGCTTCGCATATTGTATTTCCCGCACATTTCTCATATTGATTAATTTTAAAAGGACCTCGGGACCTGCAATTGAGTCCATTCCCATTCGCTATAGCATATTGATCAATGGCAATTTAAATATTTATGCTAATTGCCGTAATGACAAACAATCGCTCTTCCGCCGAATGCCAATTGACGCTCTACTCCCCTTTGATTTCCATATTTCTTTTTGCAGGGGCTTCGGGAAGCAAGGATTCCAGTGCCAAGGTAAGGACTTTGCCAGCTGATAGACTGAGAGCTCCGTGACGAATTATCATCCAATTTATTCTATTCTCCGCCTCCAGTTTGCTCCTATGTGGTGCACAAGCGATGCCACGAGTACGTCACCTTCATCTGTCCGGGCAAGGATAAAGGCATCGACTCGGTAAGTGTGCACCCACACACACTATATACATAAATTTATATACATACTGTGAGTTATGTTAAATAGGATAAAGTACTATACATATATGAAACTGCATTTCCATGTGCGAGATGTGGCAGAGAAGGGTGAGAATGCGGCTTTTTGGGGTTCTGGGACTTATTTGCATTGCTTTTAGTCTTTGTGGGCTCTGTCAAATTAAACTGTCATTTGGATTTTCGGTTATGCTGCTGGGCCCTGTCCGTCCAGCCCCAGTGTCCCAGCTGTCATGTCCTCGTCCTCGTCCTCGTCGTGGTCCCTGCCTTTCCTGTTCCCGGACTCGCCTGTCAACTTTGCTTTGCCAGCTAAGCAGGAGACTCTCTTCTGGGCTGCTCAAAATGCGAGAGTTCTCGTTCTCGTCCTGGTTTCCCCATTCGTCCGTCCGTGGGCGCCCTTTTTGGGTTATGGAAAATGTCATTTGGATTTTTCCGCATACAGCAAGTTCTCCACATTCTGTGTATTTATTCATGCCGCCTGTCCGAGCCACAATGTTGTGAGATGGCAAACTATGGCAGCCGAGGAATATAAATATATTTATGAGGAAAGTAAGTCTCGGATGGATTGGCTTTTAAGGCAACAAATAAAGTAGTTTCTCAGACTTTAAATAGAAGAGTAAGGAACGTGAAGAGGTAGAACTAGTAAGGTAGTAAAGGGAACATGCAACTAAATATTTAAACAGAAAAATCCAAATATAACCATAAATGCTACTACAACTTTTACGAAGGAACCAACCTTACGTTTTCCCCCGTTTATATATAGTTATGACAATGAAAAATGTCATGAAGAGCAGGAAAATGCAGGAAAGCCAAACAAGTCTCAGATGAATTGGCTTTTAAGGCGGAATAAGGCAAAGAATCCTCCTCAAAAACCTTCTCTCCAGCTCGAACATGGAAATGCATTAAAGAATTGCAAATAATGTTAAGTAGTTTGTTAGACAAAATGCAATTAATACACTTCATAGGCCTAAGTAGAGTTTATTGTCCTTTTTTATTGTTATTGTTTTCGGTGCAAAATTAGAATCAAGAATTTGTAATTTGTCATTGTGCTCTGTTTATTTACCATGAACAAAATTTGTACTTTGTATTCTTTTCCATGTGTGCATCCACCAAAAAAATAAAATCAAACCAAAAACTCAATTCGCTGTCCAACTCACGCTGTCACGAAAACCACGCACCAACAAAAAAATAAAAATAAAAACCAACCACAACAAACAAAATCGAATACGAAATCGAAATTGAAATTGAAATTGTTGACACCACAAAAAAATAAAATATATATATATGAATAAAAATAAATGAAATAAAGGACTCACCAAAAACTCAACACAATTTCGAGCCATTCACATACGCAGGACCCACGTTCTGCGATCATTGTGGTTCCCTGCTGTATGGCATTTACCACCAGGGTCTCAAATGCTCAGGTAACCCGTCAACCTCTTAAAGTTAGTCCTCAAAAAATCCCCTTAAAAAGAACCTGAAACCCTTTTCCTCCTTTCTCGCTTCTATTCTGCTATCTCTCTAACCACCAAAGTTTTTTTTATTCGCTTCTCTCTTTCACTTAACTTTTAATCCTTTTCCGACAAAACCCCAACTGACAGTGTAAATAATGATGATAATGTTTGTGAGCCTGTATGCCAGTATGTCCAAGTGTGTGTGTGCTGTGTGGGAATTAAATTTTAAACGCAATTTGACCTGGTCAACAACAATAAAGAAGGCAACATGGGAAAGTTTCTCTTGCAGGCCCGAAAAGTTAATTATTTAAATTGTTTTACATACATCTATATATATATATGTATATATATGCAGGCCGCACCTTTGTAAATATGTCAATACACCTCTTTTTTTTGCGTATCCTGTTTGCCTGCTCTCCTCATTTAACCCCACAACCGAAACGAACCGAAGCTCCCAGCACCGAAAGTTTTCTCCTTGTGGCACGTGTATCGGTAGCAGCAGCCGCTCCGTTTTTCCACCCACTTTTCCGCTTTTCCCTCCGCCACAGCCAACCAATTCATTTGCATAATTATGCACATGCCGGGGATACGTGGTACGTTGTTGGGGGACTAAGAACTAAGTTGCCAAACAATGCTTGTCATTTGTTCAGACATTTTTGTGCGGCCAGCCTCCGATATAAATATAATTTTAATGTGTTTTTCGGGCTGCAGATAAAAAGTTTTTTAGGGTCGAGGGCCTCGAGGCTATTGCAATTGTGGGAATATTTCTGTATTAAGTTTGTTATCCTTCGAAAGGTTAGGGAGGATACAAGAAAGATTAACATCAAATGGGCGTGCTTAACTTCTTGGAAAGTAATACTAAATGGAATTTATATATTTTTAATCATTATAATAGAAGAAAACTTATTCAAGATAAACGACACTCTCAATGGAAAGCAGCACCTGTTTTGCTCCTTTCAATTTCCCAAAAACTCTTTGCCACAAACTCTTACCACTTAATTAACTAGTTTCATTCGGCTCCTTGAGCTGTATTTTTGGGCCTGTTGTCCTCTTAAGCGAACTGTAACTACTGTTGCCAGTTTTCCAAGTGACTTGGCTGAAGGAGGCTGAGCAGATCGGAGCAAAGGACTTCCATGGCAACTGGCTTAATTAGGGCGAGTCAAGTGTAAACACCAAATGCAGAGGCAATAAGAGAACATTCTGCGAATTGGAAACTCGACTGTCACCGCCAACTGATGTGTATGTTTGTGCTGTATGGCCATGGCAACCTTGTCGCTCAAATTTGCCTAACAAAACCCCCAGCTCCCCAGCTTGTCCTTATCAATTACACACACACAAACACAGAGAGAGAGAGAGACACACTCACGTGCTCCAGTGACTTTTCCTCGAGATTTTTCCAAGTGTGTGTGTGACACACAATCTGGCCGCCCCAATAAGCCTAAATGTTGCCATTGTCAGTTGTATTTGAGTATTCGTGCGACATCTTTGGCACTTTATTGCCACCCTTGTGCATCAAATCGGATCAAATGTATTGCGACAGGTGTGGTCTTGTGTAGGCAAATCAATTTCAGCTTTTGCTTAGCTTCACACCTGGGAAGGTGGCTGCCTCAATTCGATTGCCATTCAGTAATTTGTTCTCGAGGCGGAAATTGAAAACAAATGCAGTTAGTCTCGGTCTCATAAAATAAAAAAATAAAATGCTATCAGATGTCAGGCCCGATACCCTCTCCGTCATGGCTAGATATGACCACATTCAGGACCCCAAACAGACGCCTTCGCTTATCTGGGTTGTCGGTATAAATGACATGGCAATTTATATTTCCCCCTCACAGCTCCTGCCCGCTCCTCATTTATTATCGGGCATCAGTTGTTAATATGCTCGGCAGTTATAGTATGTATGTATATCTATGCGAGCGTTTTATGTACCAGAAATTACATTCAATGGATGTAAATGGATGTAAATGGAGTAATGGAGCCTGCCAGCTAGATGGTGGCATTTTTCTGTCCATTTTGCAGGCCACGAATTTGCTAGGTGACAGCCAGGGACGCGTGGAATGCTGTGATAAATTCACGCTGCAAATATTTTTTCAAATTTCTACCCGCCACGGTTCGTCCTGTTCGTCCTGTGTGTGGCATGTAGCACGTGGTGAAAAAATAAGTAGGCTTCAAATGAGGGGCGAAAAATGAAATTCTATCTCTACTTACGCGTATGTGTATGTTTGTGGCTGGAGAGATTTATTTTGGAAAAATATCTAAGGTGGGAGTTTGTTTACAGGGCCGATACTGTGGCGTTGCGATAAGGAAAACGGTTAACAGCTAAAATATAATATTATATATACACAGCTGAACTTTAGCAGCAGCTAAGTTTTGGCCCAATTTTTTCGTGTTAATCGCGGCAAATTGGTGTGGTAGATAAGCTGGAGAAAATATATTATTACAGCAGAAAGTTAGAAGTCAGAAGCGTAAAGTAAAGATAATTTATCTGGTATAAAATATATTACACAAGCACTTTTTTAAATAAATAAAATCTTATTAAAATGAGCAGTGATTTCAAGACGTTTAAAGCGTTTTCATAATAAAAAAAAGCTTTAAAATGCTTTTTGTTAATTTAAACCCCGGTTTTCTCTTAGCACCCTTTGCCTTTCCCTTTTAAGTGAAAAATACACAAAGGAAATTCCACTAGGATCTCGTTTCGAGTGTCAACACCTGTGGCTATCCAGGGTCAGTTCCACTCAAAGGAAAGTCCAATTGGAGGCCGCGTGAATACATACACATACACTCACGTGTTTACCTTCAATGCGATTGCATTTTATCCAAACAAATGCCCCCCAAACAACATCACCCATGGTCACCCACTTTCGGTGGCCTTGAGCATGCCCGCCAAAGTATGCAACAACTTTTTCGTTCCTCCACCATCACCGCCAAGGTCGCGCATGTGTGTGTGTATGTTTGCTTTGCGATGGTGTTTGTCTTTTGGTAGCAAAAGGATATTAATGGCTGAGCAGCTGTTGAACCTTGGCAGAGACAAACAACAAATTGCCGTCACCCAACCTACCCCCGAAAAAATACTGAAAAAAATACATAAGGATGAAGGCAACTACTCAGTGGATGCTCATGCAGGCGCATAATGCTATCAAATGTCCTTGCTTACAGCTACCATCCCCCTACCCCAACACCATCTCTTTCCCCCGCAAACTAACACAACAATCGAAAACTCGGTTATGTGGGTGAAAAATGATGGCTCCTTCCACACACTTGCGCCGAAAAGTACGGGCACCCAAGAAACAGGACCTTAAGGAATCTGAAAAGTTGCCATCCAACGTCATGCATGTACTTCGGGAAATATTAACAGGAGATTAAGATTTATTTAATATAAATTATTAAGTATATAAATAAAAGCCAAAATTAAACAAGAAAAGTAGATAACTTCGGGAAGTCGAATATGTATTACTTTTTAGGTTGCCATTGTGTTAAGATATTGAATTTAAAATCTTTCATAACTAAGCCAAAAATGCATTAATTTCAAATCGGAAAGCATTTCTGTGTTACTTTTCATCAGCTTAAAAAATCAGCATATTTAATAAACATGTTAAAAAATTCAAATTTTTGACAATTTTTGACAATTTTAACGATGTAACCCCTTATAAAAATTTTAAAAAATTGAAAAATTTTTGTTTTAGCCCTACTTGGCTAGATCGTCTCAGTTTTTGGTGCTGATCAAGAATATATATGATTTATAGGGTCGGAAATGACTCCTTCATAACGTTTCAGGCTTCTGACTACCCTGAAGGGGTATACAAATAATGAAATAATATAAAATAATAGGTATATAAATATTTAAGTATCTCATAGTCACCTCTCTCGTTTTTTTTTAAATTTTTTTCGTAGCCTCGTGGCGTGTGTCTTTGAGTGCCAGAGTTCCTTGAAAAGGATTAGGCAGCGATTGTCTTGGCGACCTTCGCCAGGGCATCAGGAGCAGCAAAAAAATACCCTTTATCCCCAGAGTGTGTGTGGGTGTGTCTAAACACCCCCTCAACCAACACACAGAGATAGCGGAAGCCCCTCTCTCTCTCATTTCGCTGTTTGTGACATGTGACGTCCAACTTGCAACTCAATTAACGTCGCGTTTATTTCATTAGCACGAAAGCAAAGTAACAGCAACGGAAAACATTTGCACTTTGCATTGGCAACTGAAAAAAAGAAGGGTAGAGTTTGAAGGGGGACGACTGCCCCCCAGAGGTCCTTAATTAGCTTATTTGATTGATTCACTTTTGAGCGCTGTCTGTTCATCAACATTAATTGGAATTCCACTAGGAAGGCAATGTCCTTGATCAGATGTGAAATTTAATGGTAATGGCGTTTTTTTGTTTGCAAAGTTTAAACAATTGAATCTCACTTTTCTCTTAACTCATACTATTTTTTAATTACTTACTGTCCATGTAGAAACATTAGTTTAATTTTAATGAAATAAATGTTTAAGCACTCCTCGCATATTGTCGCCCATTTCGTGTCTCATTGTGTAATCGTTTTTAAACTCGTTCCTTGTTCGTAATATATTTTAGCTAATTAGCAAACCCGCTTTTATACCTTTATGCTATACCTATGCCCTGCGTTAATTTTCCATTAGTTTTCTCTTCCAATTTGATATCGGGCAGGCGCATCAAATGCCCCACAAATGGCAGAATGTCGCCTTCCTGTCGCCGATGTTTTGCGATCACTGTGGGTCTCTTTTGCACGGCATCACGCACAAGGGTCTCAAGTGTCGAGGTAAAGTCTCCTACGAGTACATATATATAGTCCTATATAGTCCTTAAATACCCATACTCTCTCACACTCTGCGCTCTCTGCGGTTGTATTATTTGCGGTACTGTGGCGTATATGTCCTCGCTCATTTGCATTTTTGGAGGCGATGCCGCAGAGTTTTTAGATTGTTGCAATTTACAATTAGCAGCGCTTTGTTCCCGCTCAAGTGTGCACTTGTCGTTGTGTTTGTGTTGAGTGCGGGAGGTGTGTGTGTGTGTGTGTGCGAGTGTTGTGCACACTTGTGCGAATTGTTTGTTGTTTCGCTGACAAGTTTCCGTCCGCTTTTTACCCGCTTGCCCCTTTTTCGTTTGCCCAGCATTTTCCTTTTCTTTTCATTTGCTGTTGACAGTCTTAAAAACTTGTTAATTTTCACGTTAAATGTAGAACGTAGTGCATGTGGAGCTGCTTAATAAATGTTTGTTAACTCGAAATGTCTATTAGATATACCAATATTTGCGTTTTGGTAGTCCCTTGTTTACCTTTTTATGGGGACACTAACTGGCTCTATTAAATGTCTGTTGCCTTTTGGCCAAGTTCATTTTAATAAACAAAATCTGTGGCTTTTCTTATACTACCCTCTCTGTATTCTTTGGAAAATCTTTGAGCCCTCGAACCGAGCATTGAAATACCCAAATGATAAATAATATTTAGTAAAACATATTTTGTTATACTTTAATAGTCTAGTATAATCGATTGCTGAATACGCTGACGAAGTTAAATAAAAGAAGTTCTATAGTTATTGAAAGCTTATGATTAAAATCCCTTAAAATCCTATTAAATAAGGTTAAAGGTTGGTTTAAGCTTACCGCAGAATAAATAAAGTTGAAAGGTGGTGTAAACTCACCACAGATGCTGCTTTTCGAATTTTTGTGGAACTATGCAAGTAAAACTTTTCCCAAATCCACAAAACTGCAAAAATATCTGTTGATGTATGCCAAATGGAATGGGGAATATAAATACACACAGGCAGAGAGAAATACATATGAATGAAAGGAATACTGTTGAAAGTGGAGGCCACATTATGTGTATTTGTTTTCTCCGTAGTTTTTCTTTCTTTTTTCTGTGTGTGTGTGTGTGTTTTTTTTTCAAAGGAAAACCCCTTTTTTTTGCCTTTGTATACACATTTTTGCACATTCTGTGCTGACCAACGTAACTTAAATATCACGCATACGTAGCGAGGGCTGGCCATTACGTATACGCAACGTTCGCCTGAGTGAAATTAAGACCGGGCCTGGAACCAAAAGTAATTTTACACTTGACCAAAGCAGAATGTGGCGAAAAGGAGAGAAGAAGAACAATAGTCGGGGAAAGCGGATATGTGAAAGGAAACAGAAGCAATCAGGGCAAACAGGATGATGCCCATTGATGCTCGATGATGGTCGTTGACGCTGATGCTGATGATGCTGCTGCTGCTGATGATGATGATGATAATGACGATGGCACAGCGCTTTAATTGAAAACAAAACGTATTGCATGAAAATGAATCGCAATTTGATTTCAGCAAATAATTTCCAATCGAACGCTTGCCACTTGTCAGATTCAGAAGCCGTGCAGGTCCTTCCACTCTTCCACCAAGCAACAGTTTGTCAATTTCCGCTGTCAAGTCATTAAAATGGGGGGGAAAAAAGGTCAGAAAGATGGAGGTTTTGATGAGTGGGTGGGAAGGTTGCTTTATTTATCAATTGAATTGCCAGCAGCGGATTAATCGCCTGCATTGCCCACAGGTAAACGTTAGTTATCAACATCCGACAAGGTAAGTACAGTACTTCACTTTGCTCTGTGCGTGTGTGTGTGTGTGTGTGTGTGAGTCTCCTGTTTGTGTGCGAGACTGTACCCGTGTGAGTCCGTTTACTGTTTCACGTTTCAACACCCAACTCATGCCCCTCGTCAATCCCACTAACCTATATAGCTCTCAAATCCCCTCTTAAAAGTCCCTTTTACCAAAGAGCCGAAGAAAAAATTGAATTTAAAGCCCAGTTTAAACACTTTTTCAACCCGTTTAGCATGTGACATGAACGTTCATGCCCGCTGCAAGGAGAATGTGCCCAGTCTTTGCGGATGCGATCACACGGAGCGGCGTGGCCGCATTAATCTGGAGATCAATGTCAAGGAGAATCTCTTAACAGTCCAGAGTAAGTGGCCCCCAAAGTCGGGCGAATACAATTTAAAGCCGCTTAAGCATTGTTACCAATTATGGTCTAAGTTCTTTATTTTGTTTCTTTTTTTACTCTGTGCGCGCGCCTTGGGGCTCGACAATGTGGGGCAGTGATGCCAGCACTGTCTTTAGAATAAGTAGCTACCTAGGTTTCCGTATTAAATTTAAAAATAAAAGCTTTTATTTGAAAGGGTCATCTCTTTAGATTTTGGTTAGAATTATTAAATAATATGTATCCTTTAAATTTCAAAATTATGTCGCTAAATAATACGTTCCAACAGGCACTTGTGTTTTAAATCAAGCTATGTGAGCCACACTGATTCAGGCGCAAAGTTTACAGAATGTATACAAAAAAAACGAAGGCGAGTGAACAAAAATTATGCCCCGGGAAGCCGCAAAGTTTCCCAAGCAACGCGCTTAAAATGTTACATCTTCGCAACAGTCTTTGCGCCTTTGTATTTCTTTGGCCTTCCATTGGCCGCCTCTCGTCTCATCTCGTTTCGTTTCGTTTCCTGCAGCAGAAAAGTTGCAGGTCCTTTGGGCTCCTGGGGAAAATTGCTTACGATTTGCATTAATTCATTATGCGCGCTTAAGGAAATTCTCCGTATTGGTTCTCCTTCGTTAGCCGCAAATGCCACATAATGAATACTAAACTGGGAATGCAGTTGCAGAACAAAGGAGTGTAGGATGGCAGGATGGCAGTATGCAAGGATGGCTGGATGGATGGGATGTCCTCCAGGACACAATGCTTTATATTTTGCGTAATTTCCATGGCTGCTTTGTGTTGTGAGTTAGGGATTTCCACTCACCTCAGATGGGCTTTAATTGACTGCTTATGCTTTCACTGCAATCTCCATTGTCCTGTTCTTTACAGTCAAGGAGGGTCGCAATCTCATACCCATGGACCCCAACGGACTAAGTGATCCCTATGTGAAAGTCAAGCTGATTCCAGATGACAAGGATCAGTCGAAGAAGAAGACTCGCACCATCAAGGCTTGCCTGAATCCTGTTTGGAATGAGACCATCAGCTAGTGAGTTAAGTTATTATTTATTATAAATTAAAATTACTTTAAACCTTCTTCTAGTGATCTCAAGCCCGAGGACAAGGATCGACGCATCCTGATAGAGTTTGGGACTGGGACCGCACCTCGCGCAATGACTTCATGGGCGCCTTATCCTTTGGCATTTCGGAGATCATCAAGAACCCCACCAACGGCTGGTTCAAGCTGCTCACTCAGGAGGAGGGCGAATACTACAATGTGCCATGTGCGGATGACCAGCAGGATCTGCTGAAGCTCAAGCAGAAGCCGTCGCAAAAGAAGCCGCTGGTGATGCGCAGCGACACCAATACGCACTCCTCGTCCAAAAAGGACATGATCCGGGCCACGGACTTTAATTTCATTAAAGTTCTGGGAAAGGGTTCATTTGGCAAGGTTAGTTTTTAATTTAAGGTATTTTAAATCTTAAAAAGTAACCCCGTTTTAAAGGTCTTACTTGCCGAGCGTAAGGGCAGCGAAGAGCTGTATGCCATCAAGATACTCAAGAAGGATGTAATCATCCAGGACGACGATGTCGAATGCACCATGATCGAAAAACGAGTCCTGGCACTGGGCGAAAAGCCACCTTTCCTGGTCCAATTGCACTCCTGCTTTCAGACTATGGTGAGTCGAGGGTATAAGGAAGACGATCAAAGAATCTAGAGTGAAGAATACCTACTTTCCAGGACCGTTTGTTCTTTGTGATGGAGTATGTGAATGGCGGTGATTTGATGTTCCAAATCCAACAGTTTGGCAAGTTCAAGGAACCAGTGGCTGTGTGAGTATTTTTCAGAGTTTTTAGACCTATATTATTGCTATTAATTATGATCTTATTTTAATCTAAAGATTCTATGCCGCTGAAATAGCCGCAGGACTTTTCTTCCTGCACAGCAAGGGTATCCTGTATCGGGATCTCAAGCTGGATAACGTCCTGCTGGATGCGGATGGCCATGTGAAGATAGCGGACTTTGGCATGTGCAAGGAAAATATTGTAGGTGACAAGACCACAAAGACCTTCTGCGGCACCCCGGACTACATAGCTCCTGAGGTGGGTTAAGATATATGAATTATAATTTCCAATTTAAACCAATTTAAATATTTATTTGTTTCCAGATCATTCTGTATCAACCTTATGGCAAATCGGTGGACTGGTGGGCCTATGGAGTCTTGCTTTACGAAATGTTAGTGGGCCAGCCGCCATTCGATGGCGAGGATGAGGAGGAGCTATTTGCAGCCATCACCGATCACAATGTATCCTATCCGAAGAGCCTGAGCAAGGAGGCCAAAGAGGCCTGCAAGGGCGTAAGTATAACTTTATAATTTATTTCAAATACTTAGATATTAAAGGAATATTCTTACAGTTCCTAACCAAGCAGCCAAATAAGCGTTTGGGCTGCGGTTCCTCTGGCGAGGAGGATGTGCGTTTGCATCCCTTCTTCCGGCGCATCGATTGGGAGAAAATAGAAAACCGCGAAGTCCAGCCTCCATTTAAACCGAAGATTGTAAGTAACCATAAGTTATATATTATTTATTAGATTAACATAGATTTTATTATCAATATTCGATCAGAAACACCGCAAGGATGTGTCCAATTTTGACAAACAGTTCACATCAGAGAAAACAGACTTGACGCCCACGGACAAGGTGTTCATGATGAACCTGGATCAGTCGGAATTCGTTGGCTTCTCCTACATGAATTCCGAATATGTTTTTGGTCCATAGATCTTTTAATCGGATCTAGTTTCCATGCTGCGAGTTGTGTCCTTTTAGTCTATTTTGATATTGATTACTAACTACTTTGCAATGCGAAAAAGACATCTTGTTATGTATACAATTAGCCTTTGTTGTTAAGTTTTCTGTTTGATTTTTGCATATTACTTGTATCTATGTATGTATATTTATTGAATTGTTAAGTTTTGAGTTAATTGTAAGTGCTAGAAACTGTGAAACAGAACCTTAGTTGTGGATCATTCGAATACTGTTCAAGGATCAAGTCTCACCCACCACTCACCTCAAGCCAAAGGAAAGCAATAAAATCATCATTTCAAAGTAACCATAGCGAATAATTGCATAGTCTGCGTAGAACTCTGATCGATGCTGTCTTTCCACAATATATTAACTTCAGCAAGCTTTAAACAATTGCATTTTCCATTTCTCCCATTTTCCATTTCCATTTTCCATTTGGAAGTTAACTTTTTAGCCAACATCTGAGTGTCTTTTGTGTAGAAAATTAATCGACTTTAATAGTTAAATGTGGCGGGAAAGTTGACAAGACTTCCCCTAGGAAAGGATAAGGAAGGATTTAGGAGTTTTTTGGGCCAGGTTCAAACGTCATTCGATTGTAGTGCTAGCCCCGGCATTATAATCAAATCGAAAACGCGTTTAGGTGAGTTCGCCGATGAGGGAGACATTAATAAGCTTAGCAGATCACTTAATTCTCGGTTAATCGTATTCAATACTTAGGCAGAAAAAGATATCATAGAACGAGTGTTTTTTAAATTCCATAAAAATTAAATATATATATATACATATATGTGGGTGTGCGTGTAATTTAATTTTACATTTTATTTCGAAAAAAGCATTACAAAACACACGTATATATAGCACGTCTATATATATAGCTGGCATAGAGTCTCAATGTACCATAACTAACAAATTGCATAGCAATAAGTTAAGCTTAGATGATACTTAACACTAAAACTGTAATACTATAATACTGTAAAACTGTAAAACTAAAAACTAAAACTGTATAACTGTAAAACTAAAGCTAAAAAAACAAAACAAAAAAACCGAAGAGCCGTTCGCTCCCAATCGAGGCGTCAAATGGTTCTTGCGATGAAGGAAACTTTAGTACCTTGACAGGAACCTAGCTGCTAACAACAACTACTGTTTAACTATGGGAAAAGACAATCTACTATAAGCATGTGAAACTATAGTCAACGTATATAGCCTAGACCGATTTCCAAATTAGCGCCAGCCGAGCTAAGCTTTTGTGCCTCTCGTAGCTATCTTTCTCTCATAGAAGAAACCTTAACAGAATTCACGCCAAACGAGGCTACAAAAATATTTATAGAACAATTATATTAAATTAAAAATAAAAATAAAAACGATGATAACGAGGATTAATGGGAGTGTGTAGCCAAGCTAACTGCGTTGGGCACAACAGAGTAACTTAGCCATCATTTAAACGTGAATTGGTAAAGCTTAATCGTAGTTTGAACTAGTAAATTCGATATTAAATATTAAATACATCAAATTGTGTAACTCCGAACTCGAAGCATTTAAAACGTTTAATTTAACTCTCTCCAATTTGAAATCAAAACGTAAACTAAGCCAACCAAAGTAGATCAAAAGTGCTCGCGATGAGTGCATTTCACAACCACGATGAGTAGCACTTAAGGTTCAAACCGGAAATCCGAGTACTACGGGATTTCCGGAAGTGAGGATGAAATTTGCTCGTACTTTTAACAACAATTAAATGTAATACTTAATTAAACATATATCTATAGATGTATATGTGTGTGTCTGAATTACTTTAATGAATTTTATGGCAAATAAATGAACGAGGAAGAAAGGAGTCAAACATTTTCAAGTCTGTTCCAATATTGAAAATATTACAATTTGAGGAAAACAAATTAATTTTTATTATCGAACTATATACATATTGAAATTGCATATTGTTAGGACTTTAACGCGGCAAAAAGTTTGGTTTAGTGTCGACATTTTTACAAAGCATATTTATGTAATTTTGATGATTTTCAAGGTCACTTTTTTAAACCAGTCTCATACGTATGTATTTTTATTGCATATTAACTTAGTACAAACGGAAAAAGAAAACAAATAGATATATATACACATATACATTATATTTATATCTACGAAATATCGATGTGAATTACTTAAAAGATACGATATTCACCTAGAGATATATACGATACCATACGATATCGCTCGAGAGCCAGCGAAATCTTCCAAATAAAAAAAAACTACTCTCGAACAAGAAAACTAAACTAATGAAACTCTATTTTAAGTCTGCAAAAGTCACCATGAATCTGAACCTGAATCTGAAACTGTATCTGGAGGAGTCGGTGTAAGCTGTGTATGCATCAGCTATATACTTACATTTACGAGTACACAGACACACACACAGAGACCCCGACCGAATGTAATCTATAATTTATTGAACCAAGCCAAACAAAGGGACAAACACAAATAAATCAAACAAACGGCTTTGGGCACATCACCTACACAGTCACACAATACGAGTACCCAAGAGTAAATAAAAATACTTCTAAATACATCTAAATCTCCAAATCGGAAAATGTTTATCTATGGAATGCAGGATACCAATGAATTATTTGGGATTTTCGAAAGGGATAATCCTGTGGTAATACTGTTTAGATTAGCGGAAACTAAAGGTATTTAATATTTTAAATAAACTATGAATCATAAATAAGCTAAGGTATAGTATATAGGAAAAAAACATATTATTATTTCTTTCTTTTCCAACTTTAATATCCAAACTTACTCCCTTCTAAGTTGTCACCCAAAGGTATCCATTATTCGAAATCATTTCTACTTGATCGTAAATTTGCAGTGCCCGGTTAGGTATGCAACAAAAAAAAGAGAATTCTAGGATGTCGGACCATATACTATGTTATATGGTATCGCAGATATACCTACAGACAGACCTGGGCGAGAGGGCTGGCAATCCGCGGAGATAGAGGACGATGTTGAGGTGGGTTTGCGTGGCGGCCTTATCATTGATTGCGTACAAATTAACATTTATGCGTCCGTTAGCGTTAGATAATCTTATCGTGAATTTGCAACAATTAGATAGACGTGTCCAGCAGTCGCTGCCAAATCATCCTCTCCAGTCAGACAGTGAACAACATGGATAGTCATCGATTCGCTCCATCCATCAGGTACGCCGTGAATTTCACCAGGCCACCGGGTTGGCAGATGGGTCAGGAGGAGTTCATGGAGCACAGCGACATGTGCATCTTCCAGCGACGACCACCAACGTCGGTATCTTTGTCCTTTACGGCCTGGCCATTCCCACGCTGTCCGCCTTCGGTCTCTGCACGAACTTCATCAATGCCGTGGTCTTCATGAGACCCAAGATGACTCCGTCTGCCTTTAGCTATCTAGCTGCTCTATCCTGCATGGACTGCATCTCCTGCCTGCTGATCACAATGACCGCTCTGTCGCGGAGCTACTTCTACATGGATCCCGTCTGGAATGCCTATGACTATCAGTGGCAGACGCCACTCTTTGGCATCAGTACGGGAGCGGCGAACCTGATCCTGGCCTGCCTGAGCCTGGACCGATTTAGCTATCTGTCCAGCTTCAGAGGAACAATGGAGGAGCGCCTCGCTTTTGCCGACGCAAGGTGGCTCGATACATGATCGGCATGGCCATCAGCATTTCCATAGTGGTTAATATGCCATATTTTTTCGTTTTCTATCTGGGTAGTGATGGAAACTGTTATGTCACCGACTTTTACTACTCTAAGTGAGTAATGGGAGAGTTTCGATGGGAAAGAACTCTTCGATTTATGATATCTAACTCCCCACAGTTTCTACAAGGTTCAAAACTGGTTCACCTTTGCCCTTTTGGCCCTCTTGCCGGCCATATTCCTGCTAATCGGCAACACGGCAATTATTATAGCCTTTCGCAAATGGACAAAGCAGAGTCGACTGTGCAATGCCGGTACTGGAGATAATCGCACGACAGCAAAGCGATATAAGGTGACTTTTTGATATTAAAATCATTTAATTTTCAAATATATAGTAATAACTTTACCTATTTAGCACCAAATGAAACTAACCATTAGCATTGTGATTGTGATTACCTTGTACTTAGTTGGAGAACTCCCAGCTCATATGACTTCCAGAAAGAGCTCGCTGAACCTGATCTTTGGCGGCGATACCAACAAGGTTGATGAGTCTTTTATGGAACAGTTGGAGGTGATCTGCATAACGCTAAATGCTCTTCAGTTATCCCTGAATATTGTGGTATATGCTGTGATCAATCCATCCTTTATGCCGGAGTTTTTTCTGCTCCTCAAGGGAACCTCCGATGTCTGCATTGGTCTGTGCTGTTTCCGGGCTCTAGTTCGGAGTTGGAGGCGCTGTCAGGCCCGGGGACAGCAGCATGCCACGGCAGAGGAGCGAGTGGTCAGCGGGGTGGCACCCCAGCATCTGCCGGCGGACGAGGCGCTGCCCTGCGGTTGTGAGAGTTGGGCCAGTGACTCGGGCTGCAAGAACGATGCCCATTGCAAGATAGCCGTGGGAACATTTACCATGGTCAAGGACTCTGTGCAGGACGAAGAGGTTCTTTCTCACTGCGAGCCGGAGGTCTTCACCACCAGATCGAGCGCCTGCCTGCACACTAAAGGCGCAGAACCCGAAGAGGAATCCATCTTCAATTCTAGCTTTATTATAATTACTTAATAAATTTTAAGTATATTTAAATATAATTAAGATTAATAAATTATATCTGCATAGTGCTGTAGCGGTTCAGAAGACGATTCCAAACCTTATTGGTGAATCCCCGAGCTGCCCCTTCGTCTCCATCAAACACCTTGTAGTAGGGATCTCCAGATTGAACCTTGTGTATGACTATACGCATCATTCCCTTATCCTCCTCTTGGTTTTTATGCAACTTTCGTAGCATTCGAATGCGTCTTTTTTTAGTGACATTTTTTGGGATATCAGTTGCATTGCCATTTTCTATTAGTTGCTCAGCTTCGACTTGGAAAACAAGAAGACAAACTATTAAGATGAGGAATAACTGCAGATGCATCTTGGGTAAGAAGTGAATCCAATGGTGTTTCGAAGAAGACTGAATTGAAACATGAAACAACTGAAACTATTAGAGACCTTACAGCTGAGTAAACAAATGAAAGATGGTGAGGAATGCTGATAAAAAGGTCTTCCAAAACAAGTTAGAAAAGAAGAAACATCTTTATGAACAACACATCTATGTCTTGGTAAACAAGTAAATAGCCACGATGAGACCATATAGTCCCAATACCTCAGCAAATATCAATATCAATATGACCGCAACAAAGAGTTTCGGCTGCTGGGCAGTTCCTCGGACTCCAGCCTCGCCAATCACACCAATAGCGATTCCAGCCGCCATTCCAGAAACACCCACAGCCAGTCCAGCGCTTAGATTCAGGAATCCCTTGAAGGCACTCATATGATGTTGCAGGGAGCCAGCCAGCAGGACAGAAATGACCAGGCCATAAATGGCAATAATGCCAGCCATAACCACAGGCACGATCGCCTTCATTATGAGCTGTGGATGCTTGACCGCCATCGATGAGATACCAACAGAAGCCTTCGCAGTGCCATAGGCGGCTCCCAAAGTGGAGAAGGTAATGGCCGAGACCACGCCCATCACACAAAAGAAGAAGCCGGACCGCGGCGTATCCAAAGAGCCCTCCTGCATGTTTAGGGAATTTGGAATAGTAACAGTTTTCGTTCGTTTCGCTCCGCAATTCGGATACCAATTGATACGTTTTGAAGTTATAGATACGAGCTACGTGATCTCACAAAAAAGTAGTAACACTAATTCCTTTTCAACGTTATTGAAAACTTTTAATATTTTATATGTACACAGTTCTTAGAATAAATAATTATTTTCAGAAACTTTAAATGATTTTAATAGTTTTTGTGAACACGATACTTTCACTGTTTCCATTGAACAAACTTACGTGACTGAGCACCTAGAATTTCTTAAGTAATAAATCAAACATTCCAACTTTTTAACTCAGTTGGGCGATGAAAGGTTTCATTGAAACTACGGTATGTCCCTTAAAAAATATGGGTTTCCTTAAGCCTTCGTTATAAAATACACTTTTGAGCTTAAACTAAATTAAAGAATACTTTCAAGTATAATAAAATGAAGATAAACGAATTAATAAATCTTCTTACCAGGTTTATGTACAATTAGGTTATTACCATCAGTTTAATTTGTATTAAGAGACAGGTAAAGAAAACACTTACTTTCCCTGCAGTTTGGACAGAAAATCCATGAGAAACTGATGCCTTCCCCGTATCTCGCCAATGCTACGATGCAGTAGCTTGGCGCATATTCGCCGGATAAGCTGTTCTCGATCGCGCGCCCCTAGTTTCATCTCGATGAGGATAACCTTGTCCTCTTCCCGGGTAAAGGGAGCCGAGTGGAAGCTAGTAGACTCGTCTTTTGATGTGCTAGCCGCAGAGGCTGTCGTTGGTTGATCTCCGGTTTGACTGCACCGGGCCAGCGTCGCTACCACATCTAGCTTGCAGTCCTCATCGCTATCAAACTGTGTGGTGATCACGTGCTGCGGCGTATTGCCGCCACTCACTCGCAATGGCTCCAGCTCCTCCTCCTCAGATTGATCTAGGTCCATTTTGAGAGGTGTAAAGGCAGGCTCCCCATTCTCCTCCTGGCTTTCCACTTCGACTTTGGTTTCAGCGGCAGGACTGCTTCGCGGTGATGGTGTTGGCGCATGCTGCTTGGCCTGCGCAATAATCCTTATTCCCGCCTTCGTGTCCGCCGCATCCCGAGCACTTTCCTGATCGATCAGCGTGCGCAAGCGCTTGGCGCACTCAATGGCTGGCGAGGAGGAAGGCTTCGACTCGTGGATAACCACCATCGGTTGGTTATTGGCGCGTTGGCGGCTTTGAGGGGATCGCACCTTCTTGACGGGCGACTTCCGCTTGTCCACATGCGGAGAGTTATTGGCCATGGCTGGCAGAGGACTTAAGCCATAGTTATTAAGCGCCGACTGCTTGCGCGGTGACATTTCCCCAAAGTTAATGGCAGTTTTCTTGGCATTTGGATGATGATGACCGTGAGAGTGGCCCACGTTGGGCGTACTGGTGGCTGCATTACTAAAGCTAGAATTGGTATATAAACTGGCATTTAATCGAATTGCATGGGCCCTCAGACCCGCCTCGTCGCACATCTCAATGGATGAGCAGCTATTCTGCTCATCGCCCGTTGTATCAATAACCAAGGCGCGACTGGCATCATCCTCCTCGCTTCGATCCGCAGCATCGTCGCTATCTGCATTTGCAGCCATGCTGAGCAACTTCTCCCCCTGGGCGCGAATACCATGGGCGCAGGTCAGCGACTCGCTGGACACGGATGGCATATCGTGGGATTGTTCGTTGTATATACTGGCGGCCATAAAAGAAAGCTTGGCAGGCAAAAGAATCTTGGCACCGTAGAAGATCCGACCATTGATGTACTTTATGTGGCAACCTGGTTTACTGGGAGCCGGGGCATCAATAAACTCCTGAATCATTTCCGTATATTCGCCGGTGGTGTTGTTCTGCACATCATGCAGGTTTATGGTCTCCACAGGAGAAAGGATTCTAAAGAGAATATATTGTAGTGGCTACGCAAGAGAAGTGCTTCGTAGCTTTACTCACCTTTTGGGGGGCTTGCCCTGGGGAAATTGCTGCACAAACCAATCGCACAAAAACTGATTACCCTTGAGCAAGGGCATTATCTTGTTCTCAACCTTTTTCATGCTCACATTCGGCAGCTCCGCCAGTTCGCTGAGGCAGGCATAGATCTTTCGGATCTGGGCGGGCTGCTTGCCAAAGTAAATATTCAGCTTGTTGATAAAGTTGGCGGCATTGCTGATCATAAAGTGCTGGAAGAATTTCCCAATCTCGGCCGCCTCCGCAGGTAGCAGAAAATTGAGGAAGACCTCAGCCAGCTCGGGGAGATCCGGCAGCAGGATCTGTTCTACTTTCTGTTTGTAAATGGACAAATATTTGTAAATCAAAACCAACCGATACCGATAAGCAGCATGTCTTACGAGATATAGATCAGAGACTTTCTCCAGCTTTGGATCAAAGTTTTGCAAAAGACTGTTAAACTTCCTGCAATCCTCCAGTCGATCTGCATTCAACAGTGCCTCCTCCACCTTGTCGTAAAAATTCAACGCGAAAACTGTACAAAAAGGGTTGACAACATAAGAAATAAGTTGGGCTAATGAATCACGACATATACTCACTGGCATCCTTGCGATTACGCTCCTCTGGTGAATCCGGCTGCAACATTTGCCGTAATATCTCCTCCTGACGATTTGCCTTCCTGATCTTGGCCGCCTCATCATCGGCTCGTGATCTCTTAGGCTGAGCTGCTGTCGGCGGCTTGTTGGTGCTGCAGAACATCCTTAAGTCGACTAGCAGTTGGGTGTAGAGTTCGAGGGCCAGAAAACGTCTGTGCACGTGATGTACGGGCGCGCAGTTTTTAAATCTATCCCTACGCTTCTTCAGGTAGGATCCGTAGGACGTGATCAGAGAAGTGCAACGCTTGCGAAGTTTATGTCGCAAACGTTCACGCAATTTGTGGTAGCGACTGCGGCTTGGCGTTGATCCCCTACGCGATTTATTGGCGGATTGAACCTTTGGCTTAAAAATCTGGTACCGCGCCCTTCTTTGGGAGCTTCTACCTGAGAGGTTTTCGCTGATATCCTCCGAAGGCAACAGATCCGGCTGTATGTCCTCCACAGAGTGTTCTAATTCGCTGATCCGCAACGTGTGAGTTAGCTCATCTACCCTGAAATTTATGGCTGGCGGAGCATCGTCATCCAACGGAGGTGGAAGAGGAGGCAAGGCCAAGAGGCCACTGCACTCGGCACTTGTGTAGAGGTTGCGATTGATATTTAGTACATTGTCCGCCAAACTTCCGCCAGACACAAAAGGCACCGAGACCCCGGCGACTGCGTTTAGGCTGCCTGTGTCCGCACCACCTCCAAACACATAATTGACGTTGATAGTGAGGTGCGCGGGCTGTTCCTTCGCATGAGACTTATTCTTCGCTGCGTTTTTCTTCGGGTTGCAGTCATTTGGTAGCTCCGAACCAGCGGCGCTGCCATCGGGAACCGCAGCCTGGCCTAGATTCTCGGGCAGTGGCAAATCCTCACCGACCGCCTCGCGCACAAACTCCAAATATGAGGCACTGGCGTCCGAGGAAGCTTTTCCTACTTTGCAGTGGCGTCGGCTGGGCTTATCGTCCCAGGTTTTCTGCAAAAAGTTCGCAATTGAAAATTTTCCGCGATTTATAAACACACAGTGGTGGGAGAAGCAAACGTAAGCAACTATCGATAGTGTTCTGAGACTATTACTCGATAGCCAGCGATTGGCAGTGGTAGAAAGGAGCAACAATTTACGGTTTTATTTTATGGTTTCATTGATTAGCTTTCAGTATAATTAGTAGATGAATAAATGTATAACTGTGTTCAAAAAAATGATACTGCCAAAATAGTTAAGGAAATCATAATTTGGTACCCAATTTAGGTACAACAATCGAAATTTCATCCATCACAGCCGATAGCTTGTTAGCTGTCTATCGTTTATTTGACTGCTCTAAAAGTAAGAGCCACAACATATTTTTTTTGTTTTTAAATAAAATAATATTCAAAATATCCTGAAACCGAACTTATTTGAATGTTTTTTCTGCATTCCCACTAGGCCTAAGGATTCCGTGCGTAAAATACTGCGGGAACCCCTCAAATCCAGGAGAATCGAAAACTGACCACGTCTGCACATTCCAACATGAGCAAAGTAACCTTCAAAATCACACTAACTTCGGACCCCAAGTTGCCCTTCAAGGTGCTCAGCGTGCCGGAGGGAACTCCCTTTACGGCCGTGTTGAAATTCGCCTCGGAGGAGTTCAAAGTGCCGGCTGAGACGAGTGCCATCATCACAGACGACGGTATTGGCATCAGTCCTCAGCAAACGGCTGGAAATGTTTTCCTGAAGCACGGATCCGAACTGCGTCTTATTCCCAGAGATCGGGTGGGCCACTAACTAAGCTAACCTTAATAGTCTCCTTTCCCCACGTATTTTCCCTTGAGATTTTCCCGCTTTTTCAACGCTAATTAAAATGTTAACTAAGTAAATTGAACATATTTCTCACCTGAATGTAATATTTCCAGCCGCTGGGAAGCTCCTGGTAACGTTCTCGAGGCGTCTTTACCAGCCCGCCTTCGAAGCTCCAAAGAATGTTATTACTCATGGGCGGCGCTCGGTCGTGATCGAAGAAATATTTCACAGGATTGTACTGCTCCAGTCCGCGAAGTTCGGTGATCTTTATGAATATTCGACGGGGTGTCTTCCCACAAATGGTATCCTTTGCCATTCGCCTGCAGGCCATGCGTATAGGATCGGCGCCCTTTCGCAGAGGTCTCTTTATATTTCTTATGGCCGTCATGTGCTTCTCCAGACCCATGGCAAAGAGATAATACTCGGATGGGGCATAGGCTGTGACCTGATTCAGTTTAGGCTGGAAAGCCATGCGTGGCAAGTACTGCGGATATATAAAAACTCGACTGTCCAGCATGAGATCCATGATACGAGGGGCTAGCCTTGGCACTTGTCGCGTGTGGCCGTCGCTAGGTAAGGAAATAGAAGATAGTTACAAAGTTGTGATACCCCACAGAGGAAAATTTTTGAACTCACGTTAAATCCGTTTCCTTGTTGATGAACTCCATCATCTTCGTGTTTTCCGCCTCAAACTCCTTACTGCACAGATCGTGCTCCCACTGCCTGACCAATTGGACGGCTTCTTTCAAGTTACAGCAGTTAAAACTAGCGTCTCTGTTAGCCTTTTGATAAAGTTCCTCCAGCATTTCTCTGGGCTTCGCGGCCATGTGGTACAGGGTGGGATGCGAGTAGGTTTGCAAATAGCTCTGGGTTAATAACTGAGTGTGAATCCTCAGCTGTTGCTGTAGCATATCATGCTGGGATTGAGTGAATCCCCTGCTCCGGGTCAGGTGATGATAGTTAACTGGCTGAACGTATCGCAGATTCTCAAACTGTTCTTCATACTCGGCGTAAACATGCTTTTTTACAGAAATGTATTCCCACGTGAAGTTTGTGTCATATGGTTTCTTGTAACGATCTGCATTATTTTTGTTTGGTGTCGGGGCTTGGATTGGCTCGAAGGTGGCATCCGGGATTGGATCAGTTATTAAGGAAGCATTGAAGAGCGTAGAATCATTATTTACAACTTTGGCGAGCTGGAAGCAGTTAGGTTGTCCTGGCATTGGAACGGCTATAAGTTCGGGAGGCACACTCAAAGCATGGGTTGGTATGTTCACCACTTTACAGGGCGTTCCACCCGGACCCATCTCCAGATGGCTCTGCTGCATGACTGCCACGGGAACCGGCATCACTTCCATTCCCATGTTGCCAACATTGCATGGTGTCGCTAAGTCATTTGACTGAAAGGTCTGCAGCTCCTCCTGATGATTATTTATCAGAGCCTGACCATCGAAATCGATTTGCCGAGTCACTTGATCAATTGGATTCAATGAGACATTGGCGCTTTCGATGAATTTTTGTGGAGTCTCAAGTTCCACGGATTCTAGGGAAACTCCCTCCTGCAGCAAGCCAGCGAATATTTCAGAAACCAGATCAGTCAACTCCTTTTTGGATATATTGACATCGCGCAGCTCCTCAGCATTCTCGTACTCAGAATCCAAATGATCAGCGGCCACGTACTCCGGATCGTTGATGGGATCATCGTCATCGCCCAAAAGTGTTTTGTCTGCAAGAAATGCAAGTTTATAGTCGCTTTATAAAACTTTCAAATTAAATACTCACTTAAGGGCTTTGTGAAGTCATTAAGGAACTGCCACCAGTCCGCATCGGTGGCGGTCATCTCGTTTTCCATCAAATCGGTGGGCTCCAAGTCGGGCGGCACGAATTCCGATTGCAAATCCTCAATGGTAGTCTCCTGCAGACAAAGCTTGGAACGCGTTCTCGTGGCTATACGGAGGTCTTCATTGTCCATCACATTCTTATCGAATGGTAGCTTGAAGCAACCATCTTCGGAAAATTTAACCGGCGATTCTTCGGCCGCAGTGATTGGAGTTTGTGGTGTGCAGGGATTCGAGTCGAAATCCGAGGCCGTAGTGTTGGGATCATCATCGGACTGGGGGTTAAAGTTGGGTTAAATACTTGAAAATACATTCGTATTTAAAATTACATGAAAATCATCCTCTTTGAAGGTGTACTCCTCATCATCCTCGTCGGAATGCAAGTCCTCGCGTATCAGAGCTTCTATGCCATCCGCATCTGTTTGCGTTTCGTTAAGGGGGGCTAGCGCGATGCCCGACGTGCAGTTCAGTTCCCTGGCTTTGGCTCGAGTCAGCTTTGGAACAGACGGAGTGTCCGTAATAATGATGGCTCCCCGTTTGTGCTGATCGGCCGGCTCCAGCTTCTTCTCGCGCGCCAGCTCATCTTCCGCTTTCAGGGTGACCAAGGCCAGGACGTGATCATTGCGCACAACGCTCCGCACCACCTTGTGCATGTCCTCGCTGCTGATGGAGTTATCTCTGGCCACCTTTCGCAGCCGGCGGTCAATCTCCTTGGCGTCTTCATCCACCTGCGAATCCAGGCTCTGGCGCTCACCGCGCCTTCGCTTCCGCGGCCTCCTGGGCGTCGAGCTATTGCTCCGCGTGGCCTCGGTCTTTTTGACACTGTTCGGCATTCTGGGAATGCATTAAAGGACTGAAATCACAACATAAACTTCGCCGGATTGCAAAACAAAAACGAAAACAATGTGTACACAAAATGCCGCCACTAGAATTCCCGATACTCGTTGCTAATCGATAGGCAGTCACGCAAGTGATACGAAACTATCGGTTAAAATAACTGTTTGTATTTAAAAATATTTAACTGAAAATAAAATTGGAATGGAGCAATATTGTTATTATTATAATAAATTATTAAATAATCTAATTATTTGATCCATTTAATTAATGAATAAACTCAAAATGCATAATGCATTTTTATATTTAAATACGGACTTGTCTAATTGAAACTACCAATATTCTATATTTTCTTAAAACTTGCCAAATTGTCAACAATTTTATTATTCAATTTTCCAAAAATTTTAAACTACGAATAGGATATTATTGAAAACGTGCATTGAAAGCCAATACTTTGAGCGCCTCAACATAAGTTGTCATTCAATTTGGTGGACGATTATTATTTACACACTAATAAGCAATTAGTTTACAGTCTCTTTGGCAACTAGCGGCTCCTCCTCCAGCTCTATGTTCTCCCACCCCATAGCGACAGTCAGCTCACGTCCAGGGATAATTGTTGCAGAAGAGCACCGTTCCTACCAAGCTGTAGGTGGTGCACCATATAAAGAGAGCACCCGCTTTGGAGCGTAGTTTGAGCTGAGCCAGAGTCTTTGGCATATGGTCGGCGGCAAACCAGTAGAAAACGGGCGTGGCCGAGGCCAGGAGTCGTGTGGACACCTGGATGTGCACGTAAACAGTGCAAACGAGGGTGAGAAAAGCGGCGTGCAGCACGAATGGGAATGTAATATGCTCCTTGATGAGGTCGCGATATCCAGAGGGTGTGAGCTTCGCCCAGACCTTGGCGACAAAGTCCCGCAGGTAATCGTAGCAATGCCAGTGCATGAAACTCAGCATGGGTAGGGCAAGCAGGAAATTGGGCAGCTGCTTCCATTTGTAGTAGCGCAGGAAGCCCACATCCCAGTAGTGCGACTGCACGTAGGTGTAGGGGAAGGGCAACGTGTACTGGCACCAGGGAGATTGTTGAGGTCCTTGTCCAGATGTTAGGTACTTCCTCTCCGCCGCATAGTCCATAATATGCTTGGGATGCGTCACCGTCATGGTGGGCAGGCAGTACAGCCTGTAAACGTAGAAATAGAAGCCGTGTAGAATCCCGATAGCTCCTACAATCGTTAAAGCCATCTTTCCACGTTGCCAAATAGAGCTGGACTTCTCGTTAATCAAATCTGTCGTGTAAAGAAGTAAAGCGGGAATCCCAGGGTTATCAGTCCATTTGAGCGGCACAGCAGGCAGGCGGTCAAAGCGGCTCCCAAGCGCAAGAACGTAAAATTTTGCGATGGCTTTAGGCACTCATACATCAAATAGAAACTGGCATAGGCGAAGAAGGTCTCCGAGTAGGCCGCCGTGAAGAAAATCGTGGCCGGATTAAAGCAGTAGATTAAAGCGGCGTTCCAGCTCTTGTTGAGGTCGTTGAACATATAATGGGTTAGCTGGAAAAGCAGGTTGGCGGACTCGCAAAACAGCCAGAGGTTCAGGATAACTGCCACTAGCAGGAGCAGCGCTTCCTGGGACAAGGGAATCCCGATAAACTCGCACGAGTATGCCACGTAACGCACCACAACCGGATACAGAGGATAGAAGGCCAAGCTGTTCTCGTAGGAGTACAGGTTACCAGCTATATGCAGAAAGTACTCGCCGTCCCAGTTCCTCAGTCCGCCAAAACACCACATCACCAGCTTATCCATCCATTCGCAGCAGGGCTTTTTCTCCGCGTCCAAATCTTGGCCCACTGGCATCCGGAATACATCCGGTTTGTGCTCCGGCAGAGCTCCATTCGCCGCCATTTGCACTATCAGCACCATTAGGCGGCTGACCAGTGCCAGCTTGGTTACTTTTTGAGTCATTTTCCGGATTCTGTAACGTTGGGTGGAGTCATTCCATTAGGCGGGCATGTGATTCCTGATAAATCCCTGACTTACCTCTCGGTTACACCGATGGAACTGCAGACGGGAAACTCGCCTCAACGGCTAGAACGGTTTTTCTGATGCTTATGCGGCAGCTGTCAATTACGGCGACATTTGCTTCGAGGGGAAATTTTTATTTTATTTTACTTTTGGGCAGAGCGCCCGGAAAAGTAAAACATAGTATGGCCAGAGATGAAAATGTCTGGTATTTTAATTGTTATTGTTGACCTTTTGGTATATTCACTAGTAATTATGTGATTACTACAATAGGAATATCTTTTTCACAGGAATTATTAATTATTATTATTAATTTTTAACTACGAAATTGAATGAAAAGCTAAATGTATACAAATACAAATTTAATTACTTTGCAAGAGCGGCTTATTTGAAATTCTATTTTGAGGAATTTTTTAGACAGTGCAACTTTCGGTCACACTGACATTCCTCAATCAGCTGTTTTAGTTATTCTCACAAATAACAAAGTAAATTTAGGGGAATTTGTTTATTATTCCCACTCATTTAGATATACGAGAACAACCTATGATGGATGGCCATCTGCGCCTCCATAAGGTAGGCGATTTCGTCGCACCGAATATCCAGGAGAAGGTCAGCAAGGCGGGCGGCAACATGGAGCAGCTTTCGGGCGTGATGATAATCATCATCATCAGTGGCGGAGTACTGCTCTCCCTGATGCTCTTCATCTTCGCCAAGCGTCAGATTATGCGCTTCCAGTTGCGTGGACGTCGTGGACCTCACGTTCCCGTGGGCAACGATGCCAAGAAAGGTCTGCGTCGTGAGATTGAGCGGCGGCTGGATTGCATCCCGAAGATCACGCAGGAACCCAAGCTGCTGTGGAACGACGGGGACAAGTACATCGTTCAACCGGAGCCGGAGGCACCATTACCACCGTACTATTACCGCATGAAGGCGGTAGATGATGTGAAGCTGCTGGAATCGGAGATAGCCCGCTCGGATGGAAGTTCAAGACATGCACCGGAGAGCCTGAGGGCCTTCCTCCTGACCACACTGTCCGTGACCCTTAACGGAGCCGGGCAGCGGATGATTCACCAGTTCTGTGACATGTACGAGCACGCGCGACACGATCCCAATGAGTTCGGCAAGGATGAGTACGAGGCGTATCACCATTTGCTGCTAAAATTGTTGGAGGCGTGAGTTCGCAAAACATTCTGTTACTCGTACTTTATTTTAGTGCCATTTTGTATTCAATTTTGAATAAATATTTAAGATTTTATTTCTTGTTTTTATTATATTATTAGTTTTTCCTTTAACTGATACCTTGCTCTTTTAGATCAAAGCAACTGAAGAACTACAATTCGCGAAAAGCATCTCCAGCTCGAACTCCTCGCAAGCAAACGAAAATGCACTCACTGCTGGATCCTGCCCGCCTCCGCCCACCCACCACCATGGAGAATGTACAACCGAGCAGCGAATTAACTACGGGACAGCATGCAAAGGTTAACTTAACACTGGGTCTGCAGGGTGGCAGTGGAAGCGGAGGCGATGGCGATGCCGAACTGGCCACAAATCCTCTCCATCTGCAGGCTCCATCAGACAGAGATTTGATTATACGCAACAGGATCAAGACACCAACACTGGACGACATCATTGTGGAGGCGGATCACCACCAGAGCAGCGATTCCGGAGGAATAGAGGACAACGAGATTAAGAGCATATCGTCCATGCAATTCAGAGGAACTCCAATAATGTGTAGAAGCCTTCAAAAGATTCCAGTTAAAAGTAGAATTCGACGTGCATCGTAAATAATTTTTGAAATGGGATATGCTCATATATTTAATATATTTAATTCGAAATTTCCTTAAACTATTAATTTAGTAAATAAAATCTTCGTAAGCCTAATGCGTCTTCTGTCTTAAACTTTTTCTTGAACAAAGATCAACCTACTTTTTGGCACCCTAAATCTGATCCTAAATCTGTTCCTTGTACTGTTTCTTCTCATTTTCCTTCAGGGCACACTTATCCACCAACTGTGAGTAGATAACCAAATCCAGGAGACGGCAGGCATAGCCCGTCTCATTGTCATACCAACTGACCAGCTTGACGAAGTTATCATTAGAGCGATACACGCCTTGGCATCAAAGACAGAGGCAAATCGGGAGCCATTAAAATCGGTGGACACACCTCCTCATCTACGTAACCCAGAATACCCTTCATATCACTCTCAGAGGCTTCCTTAATGACTTTTTGATATCATCCATTTTAGCTGGCTTTATGAGGCGACAGGTGAGATCCACCACTGAAACATTGGGCACCGGCACACGAAACGCCATACCCGTGATCTTCCCGTCCAAAGACGGGATCACCTTGCTCACTGCCTTGGCTGCTCCCGTGGCAGCCGGTATGATGTTGGATATACCACTGCGCCCATCTCGCCACAGTTTTTGGCTCGGGCCATCGACGATCTTCTGGGTGGCGGTGGCTGCGTGTACGGTGGTCATTAGGCCTTCACTAATCTGAAAATTGTCGTCACCACCTTGGCCAGCGGAGCTAAGCAGTTGGTCGTACAAGAGGCATTCGATATGATCTTTGAATTCGGCTTATAACTATGCAGATTAACGCCGCAAACAAACATTGGAGCATCAGACGAAGGCGCCGATATGACCACCTTTTTAGCTCCGCTGTCCAAGTGAGCCTGGGCATCCTTGAGGGTAGTGTATCGTCCAGAGCACTCCACAACCGTGTGAACGCCCATGTCGCGCCACTTGATATTCTAATGTCACTCTCCGCCAGCAATTGAATCTTTTTGTCGCAAACTACCAGGCAGTTGCCCTCTATTGACATCTTATAGTTGAACATGCCGTGGGTGGAGTCATAACGCAGCATATAGGCCAGGTACTTGGGATTCAGTCCGGGATCATTGATGGCTACAATCTGGACATCGGGACGCACTAGAGCCTGGCGGGCAAACATTCGGCCTATACGCCCAAAACCGTTGATTCCAATTGCAGACATGGCCGTCGTTAATCAAAACATTTGTTAAATTTAAAATGCAAAAAAAGAAAATTAACACGTTCAAATTTTGGCTCTTGGCATTCCTAGATCTCTATAGGGGGGAGGGCAGTTTCACTTTGAGGCATACATAATTACGCAGCTGGGTATAAATCAATCGAATTCGACCACCTGCCAAAGCTTCTCACGGACAAAATTACAATAACCTTCGGAACGCCCAGCCCTAAATTGTCTGGAGCCCCAAGACGGCGGGGGAGTGGCTGCCAAATTGTTGCCCAAACACACACTGTACACACCTACACTAACGGGCATAGAAAATCCAGCTTCAAGGGTCATTACTCACCTTTGTGTGGATGGCCTCACTCCTTCGGGATCCACCTACCCTTTTAATGCACTTCGAATATTTTTGAAAGAAACTATTTTGATAAGTTTGATTTTGAATTAAAATGGAAAATTTTACTGAGCGTTTTTCTTTAATTTTAATGTATGAAACCATAAAACGGATAAATAAAATAATTAGTTTTTTTAGATATTAAAGATAAGATTATAATAACTTTCTACTAAGACTAAAATATTAAAGAAATGAACTTAAAACCTAATTTAGCTTATTGTAGGAGCTTAAGCTATTTTTTAAATAGACCACGTTGAGGATTAAATATTACTTCAGACTCTTAAAAATGTATTGCTAAAAACTTTTTGCCTTCTTAGTTATTTTTCCTTCATATTTAAACAATTTAAATTGATTAACTAATTTTTAAAATAAACCATATTGACCTTTAAAAGTTCATTCACTTTTTTAAGGAGTGGTTTTGGTGTCCTTTAAATCATTTGAGTTCGTGGTTCCAAGTTTTCTTTTCTATCGTCCTCCCACGCCATTAAACAAAAGCTTTGTTATTTTTTCAGATATGGGACCTTTGGGGACCTGGATGCTAGATGATTTTGAAACTCAGCCAAGACCTTTAAACCTTTTTTCCCCGTGTGTGTGGCGCGTCCCATTTATTTGAGCATAGCAGATGACGGAGAGCCTTGGCCATTGAAATTTCCATTCCATTTCGGGGGAACCATCTGCCCCTTTGCCCATGACTCGGCTGGAAATACATTGAATCGAACCTTATTGCGTTCGGCTCATGGTGGAGGTTCCTCGCCCCAAAATCGTCCTGGGAAATCGGTTGGTCTTCAACTAGCTATGACAACTTAACTTTGTTGAATATTTATGATGCCGAAGCAACAGAGGCGAGTCGGGAACATGTTGCCAGCAAAGCTATTGCGACGCCCCCGCAGGATATATGAAAGTGAGAGAAAGGACTCTCTCTCTCTCTATTTACGTTAGCCAGGACAAGGAGCGCTCTCCGGGTAGTGTGGTGAATTTCTTCATGGCGAAATTGGGGCCGCCGCTGATTACGAAATTGTTGCAGTAATCGCAGCACCCGCAGTTGCAAGGATAATGCAACTATTCTCTGCTTTGCTCCGAATCCCAAGCTCGGGCTCCGCCTCTTTGTATCATTTATGTTCGAGCTACATGCGGGTTCCTTAAAATTGTTAAATGTTTCACATCAAATCCCATCAAATTTAAGTTTGTTTTATGGACTCTAGTCTAGCAGGGGGGGGCAAGGATCTAAGCCGGAACCCTTGCAACTTTGTTTTGTGCGGCCTGGGTCCCAGCCTTGTTTACTTTAGTGTCTCTGCTTTCATTCCAGCTACTTGAAATTTATGCGAAAAACTTTCAAATTTGAAACTTGCCTGCCAGCCGCGCTGAAAGATGGCCTGGTCTAGAGCCGCAACAGGACACAAATCCCATTTAAAGCGCAGCGAAGCAGCTTTGGGCAGTTAAAATGTTTTGGTTTAGTGTTGAAATGCGGTCGGGTTAGGTAACAACAGCCAAATATGCAATTTAATTTGATACAAAACAATAAACAAGACAGAAAAATATGGAAATTTTCTGACAGCCAAGCTTTATGCCCAGCCCCAGCTTATAATTTATGTTTTTTAGACATTTTATCGGGGCAAGCAGATCACAAAACTAAGTTTTAACTGCCTGCAGGCAAAGCTCAAATAAAGAATGGCTAAGCTTATAAGGATATGATGTCGTGTCTGCTGTGAGTGTTCTTAATCTTAATCACAGTTTTTCAACAGTCATCGAGCATTAACTTAAATGGTGGCTAACACTTGGAAAAATCCATTATTTTTAAGTTACGCTTAAGAATTAAATGATTTTCTTTCTTTAAACTTTTAAAGAAGTTTTTATTCACTGATTTAAAAGTATTAAACACGTCTCTTAATACATAATACTTCTGTCGTGCCATGCTATTTGTTTTTCTATGTGCATGGCCATAATCAAGGACCAATGGTTAAATGTCCCTCCAGGGTCTCCTTAACTTGTTGGCCCGGACCAAGCAGCGAACTAAAGTTGGTCCTGGCAGAGGCAGGATAAATGTATTTAAGACCGAATCAGGCATTAAAGCGAACCAGGCTTAAGCTTCTGACTGACTGAAACGGGAGAAAACAAATCGTTGGCGAAATGTTGCGGAAGTGCCAATTGTTTTATTATATTTATTTTTTGCTGTTTTGCCAAGTGCCTCCATAATTTTCACAGCTGTCAATGGTGCTAAGGCAGAGCTTAGTGACGTACCAGAGAGACCCAACTCCTGGGCATCCGCATCCGCCTCATGCTTATCCGCATCTACACTTCCTAATCGCATTCAGCTTATACATTTTCCATAAGACCCTGCTGGGCGGGAGTACTACACTACATCCTGCCAGGCTCGCCTGGTACTGTCTGGTGAATGGGTGAAAAACTGTGTTGTTTGGCTGCTTAGCGATTATCCGGGAGATCAATATTCACAGTCTCAGCTGCAGGACCCGGATACGGAGCCGGTTACGGCAATAGTTTCGAGGAGCCGCCGGGCGGTACATCATCTCATCCAACTGGCACTACAAATTGAATTGTCAAACACAAGTGCGCTCTGCAGCAAATGTTCGGGCATCGGGCGTTGGGTGAACAATGAGCCAGTTTTCAAACAAAGGACCTGAGTCCTGGGCCAGATTCAGCCCGTTTTGGAATTCAAACTGACAGCTAATTGTGCGCTCAAGTGGCTAAAAAGAGGGGCGTGGCTGGTACTTGGATTTTGAATTCCTCCCCAAACCCCTGCGCTTGTCCTTGCCAGAACTTGGAATTAAATCAAAAAGCAATGCGGCAGATGGAAATCCGTTTCGTTTCGTTTCGATTTGTTCGCAGCGTGGCAAACTTGGCATTTTTTGGCAGGTCATGAAATTTGTAACCTACACACAAATCTGGCCAAAATATATATACATACTATCTTTTGGCAGGAAATCAGCTGCAACACTCACATACATAAGCGTTTCTGAAAGGGTGGAAGTCAAGCCATTCAATGACTTAGATATAATTCAATTTGCATTTTTGCGAATGTGGAACGACATTTTTTCCGCTTGTGTGTCTGTGTGACATTTGCGAACTTTCCCTACGAAAACTTTTCATGATAACTTGATAACTTAGTAAATGAGTTTTCAATAAATAGACTGCAGACATTGCTCTGGAATTTAGGGGAAAAGGAAATGCGATTTTTCTAAAATAACCTTGCATTGAAAAGTCTGCTGGGCAAGCTTTTATAGTTCTTTTGACCTTAAAGGTCTAAAGATGCATTTGGCTTTGATAGAAGTACTTACATGATTTTTATGTGTCCAGTTTCTTTCTAAGGATAATTAAGGATCTCTTTAAAAAAAGTATTATGGCATTGATTTCATTACTACACAATCACAAAAGTCAGTAAATTAGAAAAGTGCTCGGTTATTACTATTTTTTGGGTTCAAATTATATTGTCATATAACCCATTTAAACCGATTCTCACTTCCTTACGACTCCCACGTTCAACCCATCTTTTATATTTTTGGTTCAAACTAAGTTCAAACAACTTGCCAAAGTGGGAAAATAAATTGAAAGGATATCCTTTAAATTCCCACTTTTATTCAGCATTGAAATCCCTCCCGTATATTCAATTTCAGCCACAATTACCCCCTTTTTGCTTGTATGCTCCGCATGTAAACTTTTGTATATACATAAATTCTCAACTTTACGCTCTCAACGGCGGCTGGCCGGCTTTTGACTAATTGAACCACCTGACCAGGTGAGGAATAGCCTGAAATTGAAATTCAATGGAATAACAATTAATTGAGTGTACAGGTTCAGGTGCGGTAATTACGTTGAAATATGTAGGTGTATGCCGCTTCAGATGGCCCAGCCACTCCATAAATAAGGCAACATTACGTATACGCTAAGGATGCCAGGCATAGCATGTGTGCGGACACATCCTTGCTGGACGACGCAAAGAGGAAGCGAGGTAGCGGAGTACTGAGGGAATCGGGTCAAATGCCATGAAATTTCATTACCTTCAAGAGCAGCAAGCAAATAGCATAAAAGTTAAGCTGGTAGCTAAACCAATTACACTAGCCCGCGACTGTATTTCAGCTGCCAAGGGATCGGAAGCACCAACAAAAACCGGACTAACAACAACCATAATGTCAACACACACACACACACAGTGTAGGCGGCAACAACAAAAAATATGTTTTACAGTCAGAGAAGGGAAGCAGTCGAGAGGGAAGTGTGAGGGCAAGCTGGAAAAGCGAGGAAAATTCAAGGGAGGGGGCGGCAATGAGAAACAGCAACTGTTGCCCACGAGAGGTAGCCTCGTGAGGGAACACCAAGGCAGGACATGCCACGATACGTGTTTATTATGATTAAATCAATTTATTGTAGAAAGACCATATGAAATCATATTGTTTATATTTTAATTCAATAAATTTATTATATTTTATATGAACAAGAAAAGGAGCGAACTTCAAATATGAAATCAATAATAACTAGCCCAAAAGTGTATTAATTTCATATGAGATAACTTTTTGTGCTGGTTTTTATAGTTATAACAAATCTGCATATTCAGCTTTAATATTTAAAAAATAAAAAATTTTCAATTTTGACAGTTTTAACTATGTAATCCCTTGTAAAATTTTCAAAATTTGAAAAAAATACATTTTTGCCGGACATGGCTAGATCGATTAGGTTTTTTGTGCTGATTAAGAATATAT